CGCCGTACAACGTCATGTTCGGGCCGGACAAGTGCGGGTACACCAAGAGGACGCATCTCATCTTCAATTACAAGGGTACCAACGTGCTCAAGAAGTCCGACCTGTCGTACAAGCAGGGCGAGGACGCTGGCATCTCCCACCTGTACCGCATGGTTCTCAAGCCGGATAATACCGTCCGCGTCGAGATCGACGAGGAGAAGATCTATGAGGGATCCATCAAGGAGGACTGGGAGGTCCTGAAGCCGAAGGAGATCCCCGACCCTGACGACAAGAAGCCAGAGGATTGGGTGGACAGCTCCATGATGGACGATCCCGAGGACAAGAAGCCGGACGACTGGGTGGAGGAGAAGCGCATCGTAGACGAGTCGGCGTCGAAGCCAGACGACTGGGACGACGAGGAGGACGGCGAGTGGGAGGCCCCATGAAGGACAATCCGCGTACAAGGGGACTGGAGCGTCAAGAGAGATTCGAGACCCGGCTTACAGGGCTCTGGGGAGGCAAGAAGATCGCCAACCCTGAGTAAGTCGACGATGAATTGTAACCTACTCGTACGCTGATTTTGGTTTCTTGGGGTTTGGAACTGTGGCAGGTCAAGGTTGGCTCCATTTTCGACTACATATCTTGTGCGTGATGTGGCGAGGCGATGCGTTGTAAGAGAGGAAGGCCCTGAACGAGGTCGAGAAGGGCCAAGAAGAAGGAGGAGGACGAGGCCAAGAAGGCCGAGAGCGCCGACGCCGCCGAGGGCGAGGACGACGATGACGCCGACGACGACAAGGCGGAGGCAGAGGAGATGTAGTCGCTCCGCAGCGCCGCCGCCGAGGCATTTGTCGACGGTGCTCGTTTGCTGATTTTCCAGCTTGTCAGGTGCTGCACACATTAGCTGAACTTGTGTCATTGTTGCCTGGCCTGTGCAATATCTGTTCAGGGTTGTGCTGCTGCTCTTGTGCAGCAGGTGGCCAGAAACCTGTCGGCGCCTGAGGTTGCCGATGTTGAGTCCGCACCCATCATCATCATCATCATCATCATCATCATCATCATCAACATCATCATCATCATCATCATCATCATCATCATCATCATCATTATCATCATCATCACCATCGTCATCGTCATCGTCATCGTCATCATCATCATCATCATCATCATCATCATCATCATCACAATCATCATCTGCAGCAGCAGCAGAAAGCAGCAGCAGCATCATCATCATAACCATCATCAGCATCATCGCCATCAGCATCAGCATCAGCATCAGCATCATCATCCTCATCCTCATCATCATCCTCATCCGTCTCCTCCTCCTCCTCCTCTTCCTCCTCCTCCTCCTCACCATCATCATCATCATCATCATCATCATCATCGTCATCATCGGTGGCCATCTGGGCTCAAGCAATTTTGTTCAGGCCGGCGCGTGTTCGGCTCGCATCCGCGCCTCGATCACCCCCCGGCGCGCGCCCGCCATGAACCGTGCACTCCTCGTGGCCGGCTCCGCCACCCTGGCCCAAGGGAAGATATATTTTTCGGAGACCTTCGGCGACGGGTGGGAGAGCCGCTGGACGGTGAGCAAGTGGAAGGAGAGCGAGGGCACGGCGGGGAAGTGGGAGGCCACCGCAGGCAAGTGGTTCAAGGACGAGGCCGAAGACAAGGGCATCCAGACGGCCGAGGACTCCAGATTCTTCGGAATCGCTACCTCCTTCCCGTCCTTCAGCAACGAGGGCAAGGAGCTAATCATCCAGTACCAGGCCAAGTACGAGAAGGACGTGGAGTGCGGCGGCGGGTACATGAAGATCGGGCCCAAACTCGACGACCTGACCACGTTCGGCGACCCGACGCCGTACAACGTCATGTTCGGGCCGGACAAGTGCGGGTACACCAAGAGGACGCATCTCATCTTCAATTACAAGGGTACCAACGTGCTCAAGAAGTCCGACCTGTCGTACAAGCAGGGCGAGGACGCTGGCATCTCCCACCTGTACCGCATGGTTCTCAAGCCGGATAATACCGTCCGCGTCGAGATCGACGAGGAGAAGATCTATGAGGGATCCATCAAGGAGGACTGGGAGGTCCTGAAGCCGAAGGAGATCCCCGACCCTGACGACAAGAAGCCAGAGGATTGGGTGGACAGCTCCATGATGGACGATCCCGAGGACAAGAAGCCGGACGACTGGGTGGAGGAGAAGCGCATCGTAGACGAGTCGGCGTCGAAGCCAGACGACTGGGACGACGAGGAGGACGGCGAGTGGGAGGCTCCCATGAAGGACAATCCCGCGTACAAGGGTGACTGGAGCGTCAAGAGGATCGAGAACCCGGCTTACAAGGGGATTTGGGAGGCCAAGAAGATCGCCAACCCTGAGTACGTCGACGATGACAAGGTCTACTCGTACGCTGATTTTGGTTTCTTGGGCTTTGACCTGTGGCAGGTCAAGGGTGGCACCATTTTCGACAACATCATCTTGTGCGATGATGTGGCCGAGGCCGATGCGTTCGCCAAGAAGTGGAAGGCCCTGAACGAGGTCGAGACGGCCAAGAAGAAGGAGGAGGACGAGGCCAAGAAGGCCGAGAGCGCCGACGCCGCCGAGGGCGAGGACGACGATGACGCCGACGACGACAAGGCGGAGGCAGAGGAGATGTAGTCGCTCCGCAGCGCCGCCGCCGAGGCATTTGTCGACGGTGCTCGTTTGCTGATTTTCCAGCTTGTCAGGTGCTGCACACATTAGCTGAACTTGTGTCATTGTTGCCTGGCCTGTGCAATATCTGTTCAGGGTTGTGCTGCTGCTCTTGTGCAGCAGGTGGCCAGAAACCTGTCGGCGCCTGAGGTTGCCGATGTTGAGTCCGCACCCATCATCATCATCATCATCATCATCATCATCGTCATCATCATCATCATCACCATCATCACCACGACCATCATCATCATCATCATCATCATCATCATCATCATCATCATCATCATCATCATCATCATCATCACCATCATCACCATCATCATCTGCAGCAGCAGCAGCAGAAATCAGCAGCAGCATCATCATCATAACCATCATCAGCATCATCACCATCAGCATCAGCATCAGCATCATCATCATCATCATCATCATCAGCATCATCATCATCATCATCATCATCATCATCATCATCATCATCCTCATCCTCATCATCATCCTCATCCGTGTCCTCCTCCTCCTCCTCCTCTTCCTCCTCCTCCTCCTCACCATCATCATCATCATCATCGTCATCATCGGTGGCCATCTGGGCTCAAGCAATTTTGTTCAGGCCGGCGCGTGTTCGGCTCGCATCCGCGCCTCGATCACCCCCCGGCGCGCGCCCGCCATGAACCGTGCACTCCTCGTGGCCGGCTCCGCCACCCTGGCCCAAGGGAAGATATATTTTTCGGAGACCTTCGGCGACGGGTGGGAGAGCCGCTGGACGGTGAGCAAGTGGAAGGAGAGCGAGGGCACGGCGGGGAAGTGGGAGGCCAACGCAGGAAAGTGGTTCAAGGACGAGGCCGAAGACAAGGGCATCCAGACGGCCGAGGACTCCAGATTCTTCGGAATCGCTACCTCCTTCCCGTCCTTCAGCAACGAGGGCAAGGAGCTAATCATCCAGTACCAGGCCAAGTACGAGAAGGACGTGGAGTGCGGCGGCGGGTACATGAAGATCGGGCCCAAACTCGACGACCTGACCACGTTCGGCGACCCGACGCCGTACAACGTCATGTTCGGGCCGGACAAGTGCGGGTACACCAAGAGGACGCATCTCATCTTCAATTACAAGGGTACCAACGTGCTCAAGAAGTCCGACCTGTCGTACAAGCAGGGCGAGGACGCTGGCATCTCCCACCTGTACCGCATGGTTCTCAAGCCGGATAATACCGTCCGCGTCGAGATCGACGAGGAGAAGATCTATGAGGGATCCATCAAGGAGGACTGGGAGGTCCTGAAGCCGAAGGAGATCCCCGACCCTGACGACAAGAAGCCAGAGGATTGGGTGGACAGCTCCATGATGGACGATCCCGAGGACAAGAAGCCGGACGACTGGGTGGAGGAGAAGCGCATCGTAGACGAGTCGGCGTCGAAGCCAGACGACTGGGACGACGAGGAGGACGGCGAGTGGGAGGCCCCCATGAAGGACAATCCCGCGTACAAGGGTGACTGGAGCGTCAAGAGGATCGAGAACCCGGCTTACAAGGGGATTTGGGAGGCCAAGAAGATCGCCAACCCTGAGTACGTCGACGATGACAAGGTCTACTCGTACGCTGATTTTGGTTTCTTGGGCTTTGACCTGTGGCAGGTCAAGGGTGGCACCATTTTCGACAACATCATCTTGTGCGATGATGTGGCCGAGGCCGATGCGTTCGCCAAGAAGTGGAAGGCCCTGAACGAGGTCGAGACGGCCAAGAAGAAGGAGGAGGACGAGGCCAAGAAGGCCGAGAGCGCCGACGCCGCCGAGGGCGAGGACGACGATGACGCCGACGACGACAAGGCGGAGGCAGAGGAGATGTAGTCGCTCCGCAGCGCCGCCGCCGAGGCATTTGTCGACGGTGCTCGTTTGCTGATTTTCCAGCTTGTCAGGTGCTGCACACATTAGCTGAACTTGTGTCATTGTTGCCTGGCCTGTGCAATATCTGTTCAGGGTTGTGCTGCTGCTCTTGTGCAGCAGGTGGCCAGAAACCTGTCGGCGCCTGAGGTTGCCGATGTTGAGTCCGCACCCATCATCATCATCATCATCACCACCATCATCACCACGACCATCATCATCATCATCATCATCATCATCATCATCATCATCAGCATCATCAGCATCATCAGCATCATAATCGTCATCATCCTCATCATCATTGGCATCAGCATCAGCATCATCATCACCACCACCATCATCATCAGCATCAGCATCATAATCGTCATCATCGTCATCATCGTCATCATCGTCATCGTCATCATCGCCATCATCATCATCACCATCATCATCAGCAGCAGTGTAAGCATCATCGTCCGCATCAGCATCATAATCGTCATTGCCACATTACCATCACCATCATCATCATCATCATCATCACCACCACCACTATCATCAACTCATGTTCCACCATCTTTGCCATCATCACACTGTTCCTCATCGTCATCAGCATCATCATTATCATCATCATCGTCATCATCATCACCACCACCACTGTCATCATCATCATCATCATCATCATCATCATCATCATCATCATCATCATGTTCATCTTCATCATCATCTTCATCATCACCATCATCATCATATTCATCACATTCATCATCTTCATGTTCATCATCATCATCATCATCATCATCATCATCATCATCATCATCATCGTCATCATCGTCATCATCGTCATCATCGTCATCGTCATCGTCATCATCATCACCATTATCATCATCATCTAAATCCGAGGAGGGAATAAGCACACAGAAACAAATAATCATCGATTCCCAGTAAAATTGGGAACATATCAGAAGTGGAGGGGAATCCGAACGTTCAGAACATGGAAACATGTTGCGAATCCCAGGATTTGTGTCAATTTATTTGTGTGTCCCTGGGCTCCTTCATCATCACTCGCCCGCCCGAGGCGAAAATCTGAGTGATAAAGGTTCCTCTCGCCGTTTTATGCTGGCTGGGGTCTGCCAACAATTTTTCCGGGCGGGTGGGTGGGATATCTGCTCGAGCATCGGAGTTGGCGACGAGCCCTGGAGGTGTCGCGCGCGAGGTTCCTCGCGTCATTGCGCTGGCTGGGGTTTTCTCAGTAATTTGCGGGCGGGTGGGTGGGATGTTTGCTCGAGCATCGGGGCTGGCGATGAGCGCTGGAGGTGGTCGCACGCGATGTTCCTCGCATCACTGTGCCGGCTGTGGTTTTCTCGGCAAACCGCGGGCGGGTGGGTGGGATGTCTGCTCGAGCATCGGAGTCGGCGACGAGCACTGGAGGTGGTCACACGCGAGGTGGTCAAATATGAGACTCTGCGCGTGGATTGCACCAAACAGATTGCACCACAAAGCTTGCACACCGAGAGTGCAAGAACCACTGTTGGTGGTGCACCCTTGCAGACACTGTATAGATACCACGACAAGTAATGTCGTTGAGTATTGAAAACCACACAATCCCAAACTTAGTGTGAAGAGTTGGCCGCGTGAACCACGCAAAATGCGTCGCGAGCCACAACAGTTTTTGAACTGTTGCTCGTGGTGTTCGGAGGGAGGGGGAGGAACGTGGGGATTCTTCCGAGGTGGCTGCTGGTCTTGGGCAGGAGCGTTGCGGAAAGCCGAATGGCATCTGATAGCTGATAGCAGGCCATCAGTCAGTTGCGAGGGGCATTGGGCGTGGGCGGCGGGCAGGCTGCAGCACCCTTGCCTCCCCTTCCTCTACTCATCGTCTCCCTCTCCCTCATTGTTGTCCCCCTCCTCTTCCCTTCCTCCCTTCCTCCACCATTCCCCTCCTCCCTTCCTCCCCCTCCCCCTTCCGCTCCTCGTTCCCCCCCTTTTCCGTTTCGCCCCTCCCCGTCATCTCTGCGCCCGTGCACGTGCTGGAGCTTCATTCCTTTCCAGTATTTGCACGTCAGATGTTGCGTCAAGCACATACGTATGCCGATAATTGCGCCCACAGCCGCATCCATGTCCACCATAGCCGTTTCTGGCTTAAACATGCTGTCCCCAAGCTCAACGCACAAGCGTGGAGCACGTACAACCATTCCGTGATTATTTTACAGTCCATGTTCTCGAGGCGGTAGATCGATGGGATTCGAAGCGGTCGGCGTCCGCTGCGCAAGGGGCAGTATCATCGTCTTTGTGGCCACATGCCTGCTGGCCACCGTGACGGGCAGTGAAGCACTGTCTCCTAAGAAAGCGGGAGGCCGCTCTGCAGGCGGAGGGGACGAGGTCGCTTACGAGGGTGAGCCGCCGCCAGCAGAATCTATCCGTAGCCACCGCTTCGGAGTCGTCCCCCAGAGCCTCGAGGAGTGGTGGATGCACACGTCTGCCCGCCCCAGCGGGCGGGTGACTATCTATGCCCACCGCTCCCCAGAGACACGGGGCGAGACTCCAGAAACTGTGGATGCGGGCGCTTCCCGGCGGTGCAGGTGCTTGGTCTGCGGGAGACGAGAGCCCATCTCGCCTCAATGGGTCCACCGATCTGGATCGAATAGCCAGGCTGTCGGCGAAGCGCAGATGGGAGCACTTCCCCCACTCGCTCTTCAACAGCAGTGCTCCGCATGTGTTCAGAGGCCAGCTCCCGAAGTTCGTGAATTCCGCTGGCGAGCACGGGGAGGAACCGAACGCCCTCGATTGGATCCTCGTCTCCGTGTGCGCTTCACTCCCGCTCCTCATCTACGGCGTGGTCCGCGTCTGGGAGGGCCCCGACGCCAGTGGCGAGCACGCGCGCGAGGCCCGGCAAGCGAGGCGCCCTCGGATCGGATCCCTGTACCGCCTACACGATCAGGCCGGCAGCAAGATGACCCCAGTGAGCTTGCTGATGCAGGCTTTCGAATCGGACCTCGCGGAGGGGACCCCGTCGCAGAATGTCATAGCCGGGTTCACCGTGGCGCTGGCGATGATCCCGAACGTGGTGTCTTTCTCCTTCATCACGGAGACGTCGCCCGCAAATGGGCTCTGGGCCTGCGCTTTCATGAGCATCAGCACCTCGCTGATCGGGGGACGCCCTGGGACCGCCTCTGGCTCAGAAGGCCCCGATCAGCTGATCAGAGCCCGTTGAGGCCGCCGACCTGGCCGACCTGCTGATCGATCGGGACTGGGCCAGCCTGTCGGGCCCGCGATCAGCAGGGTGCCCCGCTCCACGGGCAAGGCCTACACCCCAAAAGGCTGCCCTACATGGCACCACGTGGGAAGGAGTGTCCAGGGTGAGGAGGTGGGCTGGCCAGTCGTGGCGGGCGAAGGGGAGGGGATGGTCGAGCTGGATGGTCGGGGCTCCGCGGGACAGATCCGGCTGGCTGCTCGGGGCGGACGAGCCCCGAGCATGCGACGCCGTGGTAGTTTCGATGCGCGGACCCCCGGAGGTGCCGACCCTGAACATAACACTCATATGGGGGAGAGGAAACACACATGACGAGGAGGGGCGGCATGACAAGGAGGAGAACGAGGATGATGACAAGGGATGAGAAGGAGGACGAGGGGGTGCAGGAGGAGGAGGGAGGAGCAGCAGAAAGGGGGTGAAGGAACAAGAGGAGGAGAAGGATGGAGGAGGTGGAGGAGGAGGGAGGGAGGACGATTCGGAGGAGAGCGGTTGCGGTTTTTTGGGTGTAGCCGCGACGCCGCTATAATAAAGCATCCCCCCCTGTACACATGTATCTTTCTATCCACGGGACTACTCTGTTTTGCTCTTTGGGAGCGGGGTGGTTGGGCCGAACTTGATTGTCGCGGGGAGAAGTTCGAATCGTAGATAGGATTGTCCTTCCTCCTCCTTCTTCTCCTTCTTCTCCTTCTCCTCATTCTCCCATCCTCCTCCTTTTCCTATTCCTTCGCTCTCCTCATCCTCCTCTTCTTCCTCCTCTTCCTCCTCTTCTCTCCTCTTCTCCTCTCCTTCTAGGCCGATCTTGAAGATCGATCCAGACATCCTGACATCGATATCTCCAGGGAAAGGTTATTCTCCTGTATGGACCCCGAACTTGATTATCCCCAGCGGATTTCTCAGCAGCACACGGTTAGTATGGTGGCCCAGCAGGGTTAAATGGGTCCGATTCTATGACGGAGCGTGCAACACGCTTTGGCATGCAAGGCGGGTTGGGTGGGCGCGTATGGCATGTTTTTTTTGGCATGTGGTGCGATGTTCTATTCTCCTTCTCCCTGCTCCACGTGTCGGGCATGCAAGTCATACGCATCCAGTGTGCGCTCCTTCTGCTCTTCCTCCTTCCCCCTTCTCTTTCTCCTCGCCCTCGTTCTTCTCTTCATGCCCGTGGCTGGCGCGGCAGGTGTCCGCAGCCATTCTGGCTCAAGCAACGCTTCGGATGAAGCTAATTGCAATCCAGACTCTCAACCGTTCTAACACCTGCGACATCTGTAATCCATAACATACTCTCCAGGCTCACGTCACATCGGTAGTCTCCCTGGGTTTTTTGGAATTGGAGGAGGTTGAGTTCTCAAATCCGTCTTGGGCCGACGTGCGTCACTGTTGCTGCTCAGTCCGTGGGTCGGCTTGGGCTTCCCAGGTGTGCATATGGATGCTCTTGGTTGCGTTAGCAGTCTTTGTCGCACTTTATGCGCTGTCGCAGGGGCCCGATCCTGCTCCTTTTTCCTCCTTTCGGCTCTCACGGTGCCTGTTGGGCTGTCTTGAAACTCTCTTAGGGCCTTGTTGGGCGGTGTTGGGAGCCTCCTGAGGCTTAGCTGAGCCGTCTTGGGACCCTCGACTGGGCGTCGCTTGTGGCCGTTAGGGGGCTCTCGTGGACTCCTCTTGGGCCGTCCTGGGGTCCATCTTGGGAAGTCTCGGGCTCCGAGCGCCCCCTTGGGCCGTCTTGGGGCTCTCTGGGGGCTGTCCCGGGCCATGGTGGGGCCTTCGTGGGACACTCTTGGGATCATTTGTTTCACTCCTCGGTGGCCCTCTTGGGGCCGTCTGGGCCCGAAAAGAGGGGAACACCAGAATTGCAGTAAACCCGCTGGGTTTCAACGATTTCTATGTTTTGAGGGGCATCGAGGAACCATCTTGGGGTCTCTCGCGGCCTCTTGGGGCCATCCATCGCTGGGCCTTGGTAACTTGCTTTGGGGCATGCTTTATACTTCGAAGAGCATGCTTTGGTGTTGGGGGTTGCCAGAATCGTATTGTAATAATTTGGAGTTTTGCGTGCCGTATGGCCAAACGTGTGCACACATGTTTTGTTTGTATGTAGGCCTATGTCTACTGTCTACATGCATGCATGCATACGTATAGACATATGCATATGTGTGTACGTGTCGAAGACGCCTACGGCGAGTCACCGCCGCCCCCTGCCTGTTGACATCGCCCACGTGGCCGAGCGTTGTGGCAAGAGCTCTGCCAAGCTATCTGACCATGTGGTCCCCCAACCGTTGTGGAAACCTTTCGGGGAACACTTGGGGAAGGATGGCGGGAAAGATCAGGAGGAGGAGGAGGAGGAGAAGGAGCAGGAGGAGGAGGAGCAGGAGGAGAGGAGGAGGAGGAGGATGCCTCTTGGGAGCCTCTGGGGTCACTCTTCGGGCCTCCTTGGGCCTCTTGGGGCGTCTTTGGGGTGTTCTCGGGGGCTTCTTCGGCCGTCTCAGAGCATTCCTGGCCCGTCTGACGCCGTTGGAAGCGGTCTTGGGGCCTCTGGGCCGACTGGGTGCCCACTTGGGGTGCTCCAAGGCCGTCTGGGAGGCCATCTTGGGCGTCTTGGAGGCCTCTTGGGTCGTCTTTGGGCCCTCCTGGGGCGGTCTTAGGGGGCCTGTTGGGCCATTCTGGGGCCATCCTGGAGGCCTCTTGGGCGATCTTAGGGCGATCTTTGGGGGCTCTTGGGCCGTCTCGGGCCGTCGGAAGGCCGAAAAGACCGAAATAAGGAGGTCCTCTCGGAGGCCTCTTGGGCCGTCTTGGAGACCTCTTGGGGGCCTCTTGGACCGTCTTGGGCAATCTTAGAGCCATTTTGGGTTGTCTTGGTGGGCTCCTGGCCTTTCTGACGCCGTCGGAAGCGGTCTTGGGGCCTCTCTGGGCCGACTTGGAACCCTCTTGGGGTGCTCCAGGGCCGTCTTGGAGGCCATCTTGGGCGTCTTGGAGGCCTCTTGGGCCGTCTTGGGGCCGTCTTGGGGGTCTCGTAGGCCGTTCCGAGGCCATCCTGGACGCCTTTCGGTTGATCTTTTGTGGCTCCAGGGCCGTCTCGGGCAGTCGGAAGGCCGAAAGGAAGCAAATGCCCAAACCCGGCAAAGCACAACAGAAAATGATGTTGGCCTCTTCGGACCTTCCTGGAGGCCCTCTTGGGCCATCTTGGAGACCTCTCGGGGGCCACTCGGGCCGTCTTGGGCCATCTTAGAGCCATCTTGGGCTGTCTTGGTGAGCTCCTGGCCCGTCTGACGCCGTCGGAAGCGGTCTTGGGGCCTCTCTGGGCCAATTGGGGGCCCTCTTGGGGTGCTCCAGGGCCGTCTTGGAGGCAATCTTGGGCGTCTTGGAGGCCTCTTGGGCCGTCTTTGGGCTCTCCTGGGGCGGTCTAAGGGGGCCTATTGGACCGTTCTGAGGCCATCCTGGAGGCCTCTTGGGCGATCTTGGGGCGATCTTTCGGGGCTCTTGGGCCGTCTCGGGCAGTCGGAAGGCCGAAAGAAGCAAATACCAATACCCTTCAAACACCGAAGGAACATCAATGATTTTGGCCTCTTCGTGCCTTCCTGGAGGTCCCCTCGGAGGCCTCTTGGGCCGTCTTGGAGACTTCTTGGGGGCCTCTTGGGCCGTCTTGGGCCATCTTGGAGCCATTTTGGGCTGTCTTGGTGAGCTCCTGGCCTTTCTGACGCTATCGGAAGCGGTCTTGGGGCCTCTCTGGGCCGACTTGGAACCCTTTTGGGGTGCTCCAGAGCCGTCTTGGAGGCCATCTTGGGCGTCTTGGAGGTCTTAAGGTCTTCTTGGGGCCGTCTTGGGGGTCTCTTAGGCCGTTCCGAGGCCATCCTGGACGCCTTTCGGTTGATCTTTCGGGGCTCTTGGGCCGTCTCGGGCAGTCGGAAGGCCGAAAGGAAGCAAATGCCCAAACCCGGCAAGGCACACCATAAACTTAATGATGTTGATCTCTTCGGACCTTCCTGGAGGCCCTCTTGGGCCATCTTGGAGACCTCTCGGGGGCCACTCGGGCCGTCTTGGGCCATCTTAGAGCCATCTTGGGCTGTCTTGGTGAGCTCCTGGCCCGTCTGACGCCGTCGGAAGCGGTCTTGGGGCCTCTCTGGGCCAACTGGGGGCCCTCTTGGGGTGCTCCAGGGCCGTCTTGGAGGCCATCTTGGGCGTCTTGGAGGCCTCTTGGGCCGTCTTTGGGCTCTCCTGGGGCGGTCTTAGGGGGCTGATTGGGCCGCTCTGGACTCTAAAGTGAGCTGGGCGTTGCATGTGAGTGGGAACGAGCGTGCATCCGCGGCTGCTTGGCTCAAAGCGGCCGGCCGCCCAGATCTGACTGCTATTTGCCATCGATACCAAAACTGCTTGAGTTGGCTCGCCCCCTACTACTGGGACTATCGCTACTGCGGTGCAACAGAGCGGGAGCTTGGCTTCGCCTAAGGCGAAGCTCTTGGTTGGGCCTCCCAACCCCTTTTCAAACTTGGTAGCGGAGCTGGCCTATGGTGGTCAGCTCTTGCCCTCTCCTCACCATCCACGGCACTATCTGGTGGATTACAGACGTGGTGGGACATCAGGGTGCAGCGGGTTTGCGCGGAGGAACGTGTATAACTACGCAGTGTAGTAAGGACACTTGAAGCGACACCTCTGCCTACGCGGAGGCCTCTTACTTCGTCCTAGATCCATGCGCTACTACACTCCTGAAGTCCACCCGCCTACTTCAATTTGATTTTTCTCCGAAGACATACTGCATGGAAACATGCGATCTGACATTGTGCCGCCTCCACCCCCGCGCAGGCTTACGACCACACATCGAAAACCCCAACCGACTACATCCGACGACGACCTGCGAGGCCTTTGGGATAGGCCTTTTGGATTGGTATTACTATCTTGGGCTCACATGGGTCGCTATCGGGCGCGCGGTAGGACATATGCGTGGTGGAGACGACACAAGAACGACCGACCCCCATTGGGACCCAGCCGGTCAAGTACCTTTCCGCGAGTTCGTCCGCGAGGTACATGCCTGGATCAACGTGACCACAGGCAACATGGCGCCCCCCAAACAAGCTGCAGCCCTGCAGCGAGGTTTGGGAAGCCTCGCAGGGACCATAGCCGTGAGAGTTCCCCAAGCAGTTATCATTTTTGGTGTTAACATAGGTGGCTGCCACACCGACGGCGTCACCTACATCATGTTCCTCGCATGCACGAAGTTCGAGAATCTAGAAGAGGAACCCCAACTCAACTCTGGTACAGCTCTCATCGACTTCCGAGTCCATGCGGGAGGACGGATCGACCAGACGTTGGCGCGCTTCGAGATAGCCCGCTATGAAGCGGAAGCGGCAGGCTTTAACATCACCAACTTCCAAATTTTAGCAGTTATTTTGTTCAAAGCCCTTGGAGTGGGGACATCGCGCGCACAGCAACTCCTGCAGCCACTAAACCACCGCATGCCGAGAGACCAGCGACAGTTTGACTCTCCACTTGAACGCGCGAGGTCATATGCGCACATTGCTGAGAGAACACCTGGCAATATTGGTGGTATTTTCAGTCACGGTCACCGAACCGAGACCTTCCACGTTGAGGCAAACGCAAGGCAACCTGCTATTAATGTCTGGAATGACGATCCACAACCAACTGAGACCACTACACTACTGGCTCAGAATAGTGGATCGGCCTCGTGGTCGCAAGACTCCTGCGCCTGGTTTCGGGGGCCGCCCGACACGGTATCCCCTGCGCCAGCCACAACCCGAATGGGCCCGACGGGGCAACCTGCCGAGTCCGACTTCGACCCCGGTACTGACACCGACGCGTCTTCGGACGACGAGGCCACAGCCCTTGACTACTTCGATATGCCCACGTACCTCGCGGAAGAGAAACAGGCGCAATGGTTTTTTGAGGTTGCCAGAAACATGAACGCAGGTGGAGGCGATTTATGAAGAAGCCAGTTCGCAAGGCACGGCGTATCGTCCGACGGGCGCTCAAGGGAAAAGGCAAGGGTCGAGGTAAGGGTAAAGGTAAGCGTCGGCGATTGCATGGCAGGGGCATGTTAGCATTCCTAGAATCCCTAACCGGGCCACAGCATGAAGAGATGTTCCTAGGTGCAGGCAGGAATCGTAGGCATGCATCAGGAAAAAGGTAAGGGACGTCGGGGAAGCCCGAAGGATGCCAACGGCAAAGTATGAAGTGCGACTTATGCCATAGCACGCAGCACTGTCACCGCGAATGCCCTCAGGGCGATGGGAGAGGCAGAGGTCCGTCTATACATCTGGCTCAAACTGACTCGGATATACAGTATGTTGACTGGGAGTCACTTTTAGCCGACCCTGCCAATAGCTCAGTTGCAGTTGTTAACTTCATGGCTGCCAGATATTCGAGTGCCAGTCTGTCCCTCGAGGCTCGAGGCTTGGGGATCAAGGCCTAAGGCTTGGGGCTCGAGGCCCGGGGCCATTTTGGCTCCAGGCCCATGGTGGCTGGGGCCCCTCAAGGCTGGGTTCTTAGAACGTGCTGTAAGTCACCCGATGCATTTTTTACACTCCGATACTTTCTACACTCCGATACTCCCTCCTGCACTCCGATGCCCGACTGATGTCTTCTGCTACGCAGGCTGCCTCCGACACGCGCGCGCGCCAGGTGCACCTGTCCAGCGCGCATTCAAGCGGCGCCGGATCCACGGCCCGTTGCAAGAAATTGACGGGTTCGACGAGTCAGAGACTATTACTGCTCTACAGCAGCGATCTCAAGCTCAACTGGCTGGAGCTGGGGGCAGCAGCAGCGGCGACAACATGATCACGGGGTGGTCGTTGACGATGAGTGCCTTCAGAGAAGTTCTCAAGGAGCAGCTCGACCCCATGCGCAAATCTATACACGCAATGAAGACACATGGAGCTTCACAGGCAGATCTCGATGCTAAGATTGCTCCCATTTCCAACGCCATCGACGACATTGCGACGCGGCTGGAGATTTTGGAACCGCGGGATGCTTCGCGAGCGCCTACTCCAGGACCTCCTGCGAGGACGGGGTCAGAAGCGAGCGCAGGCACGCGGAAAGCTGCAAGCACTGGAACATGAAATTCAACAACTCAGACGCCGAGGAGACCGCCGTGCTCCTGACGACCCGAACGACGAACGCTCTTGTACAGCAGCTTTTGGGGATTTGGATG